AACCCACAATGCAGCTTCTGTTCTTCTACCTGCCCCTCTTCCTCCCATCCTTACCTTTGCTCCATGGTAGCTAGCTCTGCATGCTGTTGCCTGGGGAACTGAGCCCAGCCCCAGCCTGACCCCGTAGCAGCTATGCACAGTCCACACAGCTGCTATAGGGGCTAGGCCATCCCCTAGGCTAGCACAGGGACAGAGCCTGCTGATGTGGATCAGAGGCTGGGGTGGGAGCAGGGAACAGAGGCTTGCGGGGAGGGGGAGACCGAAGGTTGTGGTGCGGGGACAGGCAGGTGGAATAGGGGCAGGCACAAGCAGGGGGCAAGCTGCTTGACCTCCTCACACCACCTGCCTCCCTACTGCGTGCTCTTCCCCTGCCCCTGCAACAGTGGAAGGACTAAATTAAAGAAGACTCCAATAATTAGATTCTATACATGGAAAATTATAACAAATATATAAATTTCCCATGTATAGAAACTAATTATTTGGGGACCTTTCTAAATTCAGGGTCATCTTAGATTCAGGTAAATACTGTATATATCCAAAACAATCTAACAGTGGTAGAGTACACTGCAGCGGTGAGTTGTTACATCACAAGTGGTATCCCAGGTATCTCTTTCAATATATTACATTTTTAAGGAAAGTTTGGAGCAAGAGATTTAAAATCCTAAATGGCTGCATAGGAATTAAATGATGTTTGTGCTAAAACAGACCTGCTCTGTGTTCTGACTTGTTTCTTTCTGTCTCTTTGTTTCAGTATGCCATGTTCTTATCCCTTGTGTTCCTGGCTGAGCTTGTGGCTGGCATTTCAGGGTTTGTGTTTCGCCATGAGGTGAGTGGAAATGAATGCAGTTTATACATGGCAGTGGCTCTGCACAGGATTTTGCTGAAGGTTTCTTTGAGTGTGCAGAATAATATGTAGGTTGTTGACTTCAGCAGTTACATCATCATTAGTGTTGTAACTATTTTCCAGCAGTAATATGTTCAGCCCTTTAAAAACTGATATGATTCCAAATGAAGAGATTTAACGTAAAGTGCTGAACCTTAGCTGTCTGGTATTTACTTTGGAGCTGTCATTTTTTTCCCTGTGTCTATCATGTAAGATCTTCTTTACCCTGTTACATATGCAGAGGACTGCAAAATCGATTAAACACTTCGATTAAACATTGCTACTTCAGCCAGGCTAGCCTTTGTTTCTATAATGTAGAAAGGATTTCCAAAAATGCAAAGCCAAACCAAACTAGTTTCCTTGAAGTCTTGTAAATTGTATTTATTTTTTGTGATTGTGTCACTCCCCAGAGGGTTGTAGTTGCCATTTTGCTTCCTCTGTTTTACTCTGTTTCAAGCCCTGGCCCCATATGGTGGGTTTACTGAACTGGGACAGTAACTGCCATCCTGTTTTAAAGTGTCTCCCTCTCTTTCCTGTCTCTCAGTATTTCTGTCTTTTTGTCATACCCAGTTTTATTGGCACCCTTTCCTAACAAGCAGGTTTCCTTTTTGGCTATGATAGTTCCCTCAGTATGGACCTCATGTCAACCCTTGCCAGGTGTGGATGGTTCCAAGTTTGATCCTGAAATACCTGTTCTTTTGCTATTTTGCTTGGCCCAGCCCATGACATACACAGCTGTGGGCCCTACCCCAGCAGCTTCCTGGATTAGCTGCCACCCACAATTTGCTGGTCTTTTCTTCTGTGACATATCTGTGTGTCTCCAGCCAGGACAGCAGTAAGCCGTTTCCCAGAGGTCTCCAGTTCTCTAGTGAATTGGCACTACTGCCAAGTCACAGGATTGGCATTTCCTTTTAATGTCCCTTTCTTCTGCCGAAACCTCAGCTCCCTGTGAGCTCTGCCAACCTTCCGATAAATTTAAAGGGAGAATTCCCATTTTTCTCCCACTACTTTTGTCTGACAGAGGATTGGCAACCCCCCTCAGAGTACCTCCAGTCCGCCTCAGAGTTTGTATTGTTCTCTTGCAAGCCCAAATTTATAACACATTAGAGGAAATAAACCATGAACTGGAGAAATAGTTAGTACAGTTTTTTCTCCCTATTTATGCTTCTATATTTGCTTTTGCTTTCCACCCCAAACTGCTGGGGGTTTGACATCCTCCTCTTAGTAGGGGAAAATGTTTCAGTCTGTCTTTGTCCCTCTGTCTGAGTGCGCTCCCTCACATGTCAGGCCTCAGATCTTGCCCTACTCCAGGGTGGAATTCTGCACGTCCCCTTCTCTTAGACCCCAGGCTTCAGGATCCCCTGGGATTTCACCTTTACACAGGACGTCTGACTGAGTTTGTTACCTGTGACCAAGGATGACTATGGTCACCAAGCAGCCTTCCTAAAACCAGTTTTAAAACACTGTTTGACTAACAGCAGGAGTTAAAGCATTTTGAGAGGGAGGAGTCGTAGAACATCAGTCATGCATATCTCTTATCTTATGTAAGTCTCACCTTCTCTTGAGTGTATCCTAGGCAGACCTAGCTACTCCAGATACCTGCCCCAATGCCTGTGGGCTTCTCTGTGCTACAGAGCCTCTGCCACCGTAGCTGTGTCACCATAGCCATGCCAGCAGAAATCAATAGCATAGATGCAGAGCATGCTGACAGGAGTGTTTTTGCTGTCATGGCTTCAACACCTCCCTCAGTGTCACAAACCATGCCAGCTGAAGTCCTCTTCTG